ACTGAGCCAGTGAAAGGGGGAAAAAACCAGGGGCGGACAGGGAGGGGAAAAAGAGGAGGTGGAGATTTGGGGGGAGGTCGTTAACGGACCCTTTTTTTTTATTTTTTAGAAGTAGAGGGGAAAGATTGGGAGGGGGTTTGTACGAGGGCTCGTTTGAAACTGAGGCGGGGAGAGAGAACTGAAGGGAAACGAGTAGACTGAGGCGTTGAAGTTGGAAAAGGGCGAGCCGAGGACGCAAAAGGTTAGATACAGGAGTGCTATGGGAGAAAGGGAACCCCAGAGGTGGGTTTTTAGAAGATGGGATCCGAAATGGTGGGCCCTTTTTAAACATGGGGAAAAAAAACACGTGGGGTCTCCCTTTGGGGCGGAGAATTGAGAAACTGCCATGGCATAAAGGGGCCCTTTTTGTCCCCTGAGGTAAGGTTTCCCGTCGTTTTTTTAAATAGACTTGACAACGCGAGAGAAAGGGAAAGGGGGGGGAGCCTCATGACAGTTAAAGGGAAAAGGGAGGGTCGATTCAAAACGTATTAGAATTTGGGCATTGGCACCCAGAAAGGGCATTCGGGGGATAGATCTGCAATTTTTTCGCTAGATGGCCAAAAAAGCCAGCTAAATTTTTACACTGTTGTGGTTGGGGATCACCTTTCCGGGAAATTTTTAACCCATTTTCCCGGGTATATAAACAGAGGAAAGGGAGTTCTCGGCTTTCCCAAAAATTAAACGGGCCCCATTTTCTTGGGTTTTCATTTCCGCCCGCGGGCAGGAAGAACGTAAGGGTCTACCCTTTAGGGTTGGGAGTTTTTGGAGTTCCCGCTGTTTAAGAAAGTCAGTGCCACATGTCTGGAAATTTTGTTGAACTATGGTATGGGGCAGAATGACGGTACCACTACAAGAGTTGAGGGAATGATGTTTTTCAAGAGTGACAGGAACAGTATCGATATGGGAAAGACGAGAGAGCTCATGAGCCTGAGTAGCATTCTGTACGGTAATGATGCGCGTACCGCTCTTAAGAGCATGAAAAGAAATATCTTTACCAACGTGGCGTAGGAGTGCCTTGCCAATACTGTGGTCAGAAAGATAGGCAGTAGAGGAAGTCGGTCGTAAAGTGAAGAATTTAGTCCATTGTTCAGTCTGAAACTGAGCGTGGAAAGGTAGTGAAGGACGTGTCAATCGTTTCTGAGAAGAACGATAAGGTGGAGAAGTATCATCAGCAGGTAATTGTCGTTGGCGTTTAGGCGTGGGACCAGAGTTGGTCCGACGTGGAACGGGTCGGCGATTTGAAAATTGCCGCACCGTAGAGGGAGAGGCCGGAAGCATAGTCAGAGGAGAGCGAAGGTCCGATAAATCAAAGGAGTCAGTCGAGGCCTCAGTACTTGAAGCGGGTGAGGAGACAGCACCGGCAATAGGTACAGAGGCATGAGGAATGTCTGAAGAGTGGTCCAAAGACGAGGCGGGGTCAGAACGGGGTGCGGTATCAAGAAGGGGCCCGGGGGTACCAGGTTCATGGACTAGGGCTGCTATGGTTAGGTTACTTTTCTTTGTTTTTAAGAAAAAAAAGAAAGAAAAAATAAAAATAAAAAGAAGAATAAAAAAAGGGGGGACCGGGGAGGGATAGTTCCTAGGAGGAATGAAAGGGCCAGAAATCTCCCTCTGCGCCCAAGAGGACCTCAGCACCGCAAGTAGCGCAGATGCAGCATGGAACCCGTGCCATACCCTACCCATCATGCTAGTAAACTAACAATCCGGGATAGCAACCTCACATCTGCAGAGCTACCTCGGTGGACAAAAGAGAGGGCGGCCGGATATCCACCACAAAGCATACCTCCTTCGGCCACCACCCCCGGAATCCGAAAGGTGGCTTCCAGAAATACACCCGTCGCCCGAAAGACACCCAAAGCTACTCCGGGATACCGGAGAGGGATCGAGACATCCCCAGGCAATCCAAATTCCACGGCAAACTACGCCACCGCCAAGAACCTCAACAGAATGGGATGGACCCCGGTATCCTTTCCCCTACCTAGGAACTAGCACGCCTGTGGGAGAAATCCCAAAGGCCAAAAAGAGGAAGGGCAAAAGGGAGTGGTGGGGAGGAGGAGGAGGAAAGGAAAAAGGGGAGGATGGGATAGGGGAGGGGAGATTGGGGGGTAATTAGGTTCGGTCTGAGGAAGAAGACCGACAGGTCTAATTCCTCAGACCAAGAGCCTCTTCACCACGCCAAGGAGCCCCCCTTGAAGAGGAATCTTATTGTAGCTAGCTGGCCGGTCTGGAGTTTTACGACTCTCACCGCGAGTTCAATCCCCGCCCGTACCGTGGCTTCAGTTAATGTTTTGTAGACGTCATGCTCACCAGTGTCAAGTATAAACTTGTTGTATCCAGACGACAGTGCCCTGATAATGTCAGATAAAGACCCACAAGATATAGCTAATATACTATCACTAGAACTTTAGATTATTATAATCAAAAAGAAGCGCTAAACCACAAGGGCTATACAGCTAGAACTTTAGAGTCTTGCAGCAAATGGTTAGTAGAAACTATCGTTGCACCTCGGGAAAACAGAAACCATGCTCTGACACGAAAACGGAAAAGGGTAAATTTTTTTTTTTTAATGTGCAGTGTAATGGGGAACCCATCATAAGTATCTTCAGTGAAATCTCTGGTAATCACTGACCCATATCAAGTAAATTGATAAGGAACAGCTGTAAAAACTAATACCGGGAAACAAAGTTCCTCTACCTCTAGAACAGAGTATACTACAGACTAGCCATACAATAGAGCGGAAATAATGCAAGGGACCTGGGAGTAGTAATGTCTGAGGATCTCACTTTCAAGGATCACAACAGTGCCACGATCGCACGTGCAAAGAAAATGATAGGATGGATAATGAGAACGTTCAAAACGAGAGATGCCAAGCCAATGATGATACTTTTCAAATCACTTTTTCTCTCTAGGCTGGAATACTGCTGTACATTAACATCTCCATTCAAAGCAGGTGAAATCGCAGATCTAGAGTGTACAGAGAACCTTTACTGCACGTATAAGTTCTGTCAAGCACCTTAACTACTGGGAACGCTTGGAAGCACTTGACTTGTACTCGTTGGAACGCAGGAGGGAGAGATATATCAATCTACACTTGGAAAATCCTGGAAGGAATGGTCCCAAATCTACACACAGAAATCACTCCCTACATAAGTAAAAGACTGGGCAGGCGATGCAAAATGCCCCCCAATAAAAAGTAGGGGCGCCATTGGTACTCTAAGGGAAAACACCGTAAGTGTCCGGGGCCCCAAGACTGTTCAACAGCCTCCCATCAAGCATTAGGGGAATTGCCAATAAACCCCTGGCTGCCTTCAAGAGAGAGCTGGACAGATACCTAAAATCAGTGCCGGATCATCCGGGCTGCGGCTCGTACGTTGGACTGAGTGCGGCCAGCAGTAACAGCCTAGTTGATCAGGCCCTGATCCATCGGGAGGCCTGGTCATGGACCGGGCCGCGGGGGCGTTGATCCCCGGAATAACCTCCAGGTATCCGAGAGAGTGTTTACCTACCGAGGCTCGCAGGACCCTATGTGTAGCTCTTACACAGTCAGATTCTTGATCTCCATAGTATTCTGCCTTAAAAAAAAATTACAAATCACCCAGAACAAAATGGCGAGATTTATCCTGGACCTGGGTCCAAGAAAGCATGTAGGCCAGGATGAATTATAACTGGATATGATGAACGTTGAAGGCAGTATAGCAGCTGAACACAACTCGCACATAGAAGAGAGGAGCTTACGACGACGTTTCGGTCCGACTTGGACCATTTACAAAGTCACAGTGTTATTTGTGTATCGTTCCAGTCACGGTATTGTGCCTTGTTTTGTTATTTAAGCAGCTTTAGTTACAAGTATATGAATTTGTGCACAAGCAGTGTCCAAAATATCCTGCTGGCAAGTCTATCAAGGTTGGGAACCAAAACTAGTATGGTAGTACCCACAGCAGGTGATCAGGTTCAAACACCTTTTATTGTACAGCAGTACAGGAGTGGAACAGATTGCCTGCATATATCAGCCTGTCCTAGCACGAGCCAGTTCAGGAACTGCTAAAAGGTATTTATGTCTACTTGTACCTAAATAAACTTACTTGGTTACCTAATGAAGCTACAGAAAGGGAGGAGTGATTTATAGTTAACATTCGTGTACCTATTGCAATTATTATTATAATCAAAAAGCGCTAAGCCACAAGGACTATACAGCCCTATTATTGCAAACTGATCCTTTAATTTTAATGCAAATAGCTCAGCTTACCTTATTCCTAGTATATTAAGTTACTTAGCTGTATTAACTTAAAGGTTTAAATATTACAGTGACACTCAATGGAAACGAGAACCTTCGACTTTTTTTTTTTTTTTTTTTTTTTTTTTTGAGGAAGGGGGGGGGGAGTTATTCTGGTGGGTGATTTACACACGTTACTACGCATGATAATTTGTGTAAATATTTGTGTAACTGTACCTAAATAAACTTACCGATGCTTACGGAGGCCCTCAAAGTAATTTTCATTAGTATATTCATATATAATATTGTATATGACTAAGTTCAGTATAGCCATAAATAAGTACACGTACACACAAGTACAATTATCAGTGTAAATTACCTAGGATAACCCTCTCCCCCCCAAAAATATCTGACTTTTCCATTGAGATCCACGTCATATCCTTTTCATTTGCATATACACAGTGTTAGTACCAGTTTAAGTATCTGAATGCTGTACATAACTCAGGGTTTTGACACGTGATAATTCTTTAAAAGTATGAAATAAAAGATTAGAACTCCAATGGAAACAAGTCACTGACTTTTTTGGGTTGTCCTGGGTTCTCTACATATGTGCTGCTATGTATAATAATCTATAACTATTTGTGTATACCTGAATAAAATTTGCTTTCTAGAGCCCATCACAGAATACTTCAGTTACCCGACTTGCAAGTTTTCTTTTCTAAATGTAGAGGAAATGAAAACTAAAAGGGGATACTGTTATAATTGTTGTTCTTACAGAGCGTTAAGCTATCATACATAGTATAGGGGAACAGGCAGTGATCCAAGGAAAGCCATGCCAGGTCCAGTCCTTGGATCAAAAGTGTCCCATTGGCGTCAAGGCAACCCTCTACGAGGGGAACTCTCGTGCCAAATTAATTTTACAATTTTTGTGTAGTTCGTCCAATATATTAATAGTTAAAGTTCAATGATACACTTCTTAACTCGTGGAAAATTATCATATTAAAATAAACGCTAAATCAGCATGGGGTCATTTAACGCCATGGCAATAACATATAAAAATTTAATTAAAGTACTGACGCCTCAAAAATAAAATCACACGTGGCTAACAATCTAAAAATCTAAGCAGTGGTGCCTTGGTCTTGAAAAACTTGAAAGTACATAAACTTGGAAAGTATACATAAAAGACTAAAAGTTTACTTATAAACAAAGTTTAAGCAGAAATCTGAGACCGCCTCTTAACTAAAAATTTTCCGAGGGACGGTAAAATACCCTTTGTAAATTAGTTTAAAAACACTAACAATGACGATTTCGTTCCCAACTGTTTTGCTACTACGTCCTTTCAATAAAAAAAAAATAAGAAATTAAATAATTCTGTTACCGAGTAATGTGGTTCCTGATATCATTGGGATCTGCGTATATTAGCTTGCGTTTCTGCAGCCTCTGAGAAGCGATGATCATCTGACAGACTGTGTTTACCCTGGCTTTGAGGTCTTCAATATTGATACCTAACGCAGGAGTGCGAGTCGTCAAGCCGGCTGCATTTGCGTCTGAATTTACCGTCCAAGATGACTTAGTGTTTGCGTCGACGGTGTCAGTGCTCCTGCAAGGGGCTAACTCTCTCTTGACCGTAAACCATCGCTGGAAGGGCGTCGTCTTGGAGTTTTCTGAAGGGAATGGAACGCCTGGAGGAACAGATTTCGGCCTGTCTTCAGCGAAGTTCTTCACCTTTGAAAGGAAGAAACGAAGTTTAAGCACATGCTATCTCCTCTTATACTTTATCATCGCTTGTATTTGTAGCAATGTTTTATATTTGTGGTAATGTTAGTTTAATTGGTAAATAAACATGTACATAGGTAGCCTTTGAGCTCTGTTGAACTTCAGTGTTACAATGTTCTATGTAATATTAATCTTTTGCATGTATTTAGACGACCTGGTTGGGGTGTCACTGTGTTGGAGTCTTGTGTATTAATCTGTCCTGTGTATTTATACCACCTTGTATTTGCATTGCTTTAAATATAAAAAAAAAAATTCTTAAGATAATCTAATTGATAAAAATGGAAGTTAAAAAAGTGTATTAAACCTGGAATGCTAGGAGACAAATATTCCAAATTCTTCATTATAATTATAATCATGGGGAAGCTTTGAACTCAGGATTATACAGCGTCAGTGAAGGGGGGGGGGAATGGAAGGTATTCAGGCTTAATTCGGGGAACTGGAGCACAGATCCAATTCCCTAGATCAAGAGCCCCTCATCATTGCCAAGGAACCTCCCTTGAGAGGAAATTCAATAAAAACTGTCAGTTTAGGATACACACTAAATCTAAATAAAATCTTCCACTAAAAAACACCAGCTTTGATGCTAAAGAGGAATTATCTTAAAGACCAATGTCTTTTTCAGCAGCACTTAATTTTTTTTTAACCAGATAGCATTTTGCGTAAGTTAACTTTTTATCGTTGATTCAATGACTGTCTGAAATTATAATAAAAAAATTTGGCCTGAAATAACTCGGCTCTTGACAAACTCAGATTCACGTTAACTTGTTTGAAGTTGTAGTTCCAACATACAAAAGTATAAAAGTATAACGCGTACTCACAGCTTCTACAAATGCGATTTTATCACTTTCATTGATAGTAGTTTTCTAAATGCTTATTAATTAATTAACCAGTCAATCCTAAGAACTTGTGTAAAGAAAGCTATTGAAAGCGCTCCCTGTTTTATCATGGTGTTAAAGTACAGTACGCATGTGACTGGTGTCGGAGCTAGCAAGTTTTATTTTGGGTTATGGGTTTACAAGTTTGACTCCTAGTTGAATTAAACATTTTTGAGGACTGGATGAAGAGTACTTAAGGTACCCACGTAATAAGACTACCAGCACGAACACAAGTACTATTACACCAAGATGAAAGCCACCATTAGTGAAAAAGTTCTCACCTTGGGAAACGACATTGTAAGATGCGAGAGACCATCTGGTAGAGGAGGGATGTACACAAAGGGAACCTCCGCCGACGAAGCTTCGTTAGTTCTCGACCTAACTTCACGCTGGATCGAAGTGACCCTGGAGGAGGCATCGAAGGTGTCGTTACCAAGGCGAGGAACGTGTGTCGAGATACATTTGACGGGGAGTGGTATTTGCGATGGTGGGTACCTGTTGAAATCATGGCTTCTAGAGCCTACGCTGCTACTGCTGGGAGCACACGAACACCTGCTGCTAGAAGAGGCCATGCTGCTGCAGGGGACCATGCAGCTAGTATGATTATTGTTGATAGGCTTTCTGTTCTTGGGACCGCTGCCTTTCGGCTCTGTCCCGCAGTTGCTAATGACGCTGCCATGGGGACCCATGCCATTAAGTACCATGCTGCTGTTATTACCACTACCGCTAGGCCCCATGATGGTGCCGTAGGTGTTTATGTCACCGCTATTAGAAGCTTTGACTCGAGGACCAGCCCTGGTGGCCAACAATGGGCCCCTGTCTTGATCCTCGAAAAACCAGCTTAAAATTGTGTTTGTATCGCCTCTCTGGACAAGATAAAGAAAATTCAGAATTGTAAGTTCATTTCAACCTCCTCTCCCGATATAAAAACCCTAACATTGAGAAAAAAGACGCAAATAAAAAAATAAAGGAAAAGAAAAAGAACAGAACAATACCTTTATTCTTTCATAGCAACAGTAAATGAAAGCAGCTAGTAATATAGTTGCTATTCCAAGAGCTATTACTAGAGATCCAGCTAGTGTCACCAAGGACGCCACCACCTTCAATCTCGCTTCCAGTGGAACATCCTCCATCTTAGTTACGGACGCGACTTGAAAAAGAAAAAAAAAGCCTAAGGTTCCACAGACTAGAGCAGCTGGTGTTAACAGGTTAACTGCACAGAGTGGGAGTGACTGGTGACTGGGTTAAGGGACCCGTCTGTCTCGAACTTCCTCCTGAGACTTTGCTCCCTCGTTCGATCCCCCTTCAGGTTCGTTTACCCCTTAAAATATAACCTCTCAGTATGGAGAATTTTGATACTGAGACCCTAAGATACAAAGATCTCCACGCGTAAAACTACAAAGCATTAAGCGTGCTAGATAAACTAAGTTTACACTACACCCAACCATTCCTCATTCATATATTTTGAAACTACCCAAAATACTTCCTTCAATTAGTTTATTTGATTATTTCACAAAAGTATCATAAATTTCTGTAGTTTCCACGTAGCCTAGAAGACACAAGAATGTAAATAATAGAATTAATTAACCTGCCTCAATTACGTGAAATTCTTCCCAGTAGAATACAACAAATTATTGTTGTAGTTTGTATATGTACTAGTGTATATATTTACTGTGTGTATATGAATACTAGTAGGTTTGAAGCCTATCCACCGAATATGTATTATTAAAGCTTCCACTATACACTGCCATTAAAAAGTACATTGCCATTAAAAAAAATGCGATTATACACTGCCATTAAAAAAACTGTAATCCCCATTTTAACCATGAAGCGCTAAACCCGTAGAGATCATGGAGAGGCACTTAAGTTCCGTGAAAATGAATCCGGTTCCTTGAATCAAGAGCACCACCATCAAGGAACTTCTTGAGGAACCTATTATTTTTTAAAAGAGGACAAATATTCGTACACTAATAAAATAAAAGACTATCATATAACGTGTGGGAGGTTAGGTTTGAAGCCTATCGGCTCCACCAGTTGAATTTCTCCTATACACCACGTAGCGCGTATTAACTAGCAAATATACACCTCAGTGTATATACCCTATGTTATGTAACATGTATATTGATGAGTATATACGTGTGTATGTATTTCAGCAGTGATTACACCTTCTAAGTGTACAGAATTGCATCCCTTGATGTTGGTGAGGGGCTCTTGATTTAGGGAATTGGATCTGTGCTCCAGTTCCCCGAATTAAGCCTGAATGCCTTCCACATCCCCCCAGGCGCTGTGTAATCCTATGGGTTTAGCGCTTTCCCCTTGATTGCAATAATAAATAATAATAATAACAGAACTGCATCTCCTACTGAAGAGCGGTGTTGCTGTGGTCTGATGTGTTCATTTGCGGTTGTTCGTGCAGTGTGTTCACTCGCTGATGTCTGACGTGTGTTCATCCACAACGTTTCGAGCACTGGGCCCACTCGAGAGGTGAAAAGTTTCATTAATTAATCTCCTTGACCCTCTGACACGCCTCACATAACTGAGAGTCGGAGTTCCATCACCCATTGTGGTCCATCACCAGGTCAGCTCCATCACCAGGTCAGGTCATCTCCATCGCCAGGTTAGCTCCATCACCAGGTCAGCTCCAGTTCCATCTCAGCTCCAGCTCCATCACCAGGTCAGCTCCATCACCAGGTCAGCTCCATCACCAGGTCAGCTCCATCACCAAGTCAGCTCCATCACCAAGTCAGCTCCATCACCAGGTCAACTCCATCGCCAGGTCAACTCCATCACCAGGTCAACTCCATCACCAGGTCAGCTCCATCGCCAGGTCAGCTCCATCACCAGGTCAGCTCCATCACCAGGTCAGCTCCATCACCAAGTCAGCTCCATCACCAAGTCAGCTCCATCACCAGGTCAACTCCATCGCCAGGTCAACTCCATCACCAGGTCAACTCCATCACCAGGTCAGCTCCATCACCCTCAACATTATGCAAATAATCCGCACATAAAAGAATGAAACTTATGGCTGCATTTCGGCCCAATTCGGACCGAAACGTCGTCACAAGGTTCAGTCACCTTCGTGCGGGTTATTTGCGCCTGGTAGTAGTAGTAGTAATAAATTAGTAATGAAGGATGTTGAGCTAGCAGTAGTAATAGTTATACTGAGAAGCAGGTGGCACCTGAGGCTTTGTTAATAAGGGAAATATGTGGCCACTGAGGGTGCTCCTATTACTCTAGGGCCCTCGGCTACTCTAGGGCCCTCGGCTACTCTAGGGCCCTCGGCTACTCTAGGGCCCCCGGCTACTCTAGGGCCCTCGACTACTCTAGGGCCCTCGACTGCTCTAGGGCCCTCGACTACTCTAGGGCCCTCGGCTACTCTAGGGCCCCCGACTACTCGAGGGCCCCCGACTACTCTAGGGCCCCCGACTACTCTAGGGCCCCCGACTACTCTAGGGCCCTCGGCTACTCTAGGGCCCCCGACTACTCAAGGGCCCCCGACTACTCTAGGGCCCCCGACTACTCTAGGGCCCACCGACTACTCTAGGGCCCTCGACTACTCTAGGGCCCTCGACTACTCTAGGGCCCTCGACTACTCTAGGGCCCTCGACTATAGAGCCCCCGACTATAGGGCCCCCGACTACTCTAGGGCCCCCCGACTACTCTAGGGCCCTCGACTACTCTAGGGCCCCGACTACTGAGGGGGTCAGGGCTCTCAAATTAAATATCTGTTTCTTAACACTCCGTTTGTGGCGATACTGTAAATTTTGACGAATTGTGGTGGCACGAAGACCCCCATCCCCTCACCTATATATTTGCATACCTGGAGTTTACCTGGAGAGAGTTCCGGGGGTCAACGCCCCCGCGGCCCGGTCTGTGACCAGGCCTCCTGGTGGATCAGAGCCTGATCAACCAGGCTGTTACTGTTGGATGCACGCAAACCAACGTACGAGCCACAGCCCGGCTGGTCAGGAACCGACTTTAGGTGCTTGTCCAGTGCCAGCTTGAAGACTGCCAGGGGTCTGTTGGTAATCCCCCTTATGTATGCTGGGAGGCAGTTGAACAGTCTCGGGCCCCTGACACTTATTGTATGGTCTCTTAACGTGCTAGTGACACCCCTGCTTTTCATTGGGGGGATGTAGCATCGTCTGCCAAGTCTTTTGCTTTCGTAGTGAGTGATTTTCGTGTGCAAGTTCGGTACTAGTCCCTCTAGGATTTTCCAGGTGTATATAATCATGTATCTCTCCCGCCTGCGTTCCAGAGAATACAGGTTCAGGAACCTCAAGCGCTCCCAGTAATTGAGGTGTTTTATCTCCGTTATGCGCGCCGTGAAGGTTCTCTGTACATTTTCTAGGTCAGCAATTTCACCTGCCTTGAAAGGTGCTGTTAGTGTGCAGCAATATTCCAGCCTAGATAGAACAAGTGGCCTGAAAAGTGTCATCATGGGCTTGGCCTCCCTAGTTTTGAAGGTTCTCATTATCCATCCTGTCATTTTTCTAGCAGATGCGATTGATACAATGTTATGGTCCTTGAAGGTGAGATCCTCCTACATGATCACTCCCAGGTCTTTGACGTTGGTGTTTCGCTCTATTTTGTGGCCAGAATTTGTTTTGTACTCGAAGATTTAATTTCCTCGTGTTTGCCATATCTGAGTAATTGAAATTTCTCATCGTTAAACTTCATATTGTTTTCTGCAGCCCACTGAAAGATTTGGTTGATGTCCGCCTGGAGCCTTGCAGTGTCTGCAATGGAAGACACTGTCATGCAGATTCGGGTGTCATCTGCAAAGGAAGACACGGTGCTGTGGCTGACATCCTTGTCTATGTCAGATATAAGGATGAGGAACAAGATGGGAGCAAGTACTGTGCCTTGTGGAACAGAGCTTTTCACCGTAGCTGCCTCGGACTACTACTCTCTGTGTTCTGTTAGTGAGGAAATTATAGATCCATCGACCGACTTTTCCCGTTATTCCTTTAGCACGCATTTTGTGCGCTATTACGCCATGGTCACACTTGTCGAAGGCTTTTGCAAAGTCTGTATATATTACATCTGCATTCTTTTTGTCTTCTAGTGCATCTAGGACCTTGTCGTAGTGATCCAATAGTTGAGACAGACAGGAGCGACCTGTTCTAAACCCATGTTGCCCTGGGTTGTGTTACTGATGGGTTTCTAGATGGGTGGTGATCTTGCTTCTTAGGACCCTTTCAAAGTTTTTTTTTATATGGGATGTTAGTGCTATCGGTCTATAGTTCTTTGCTGTTGCTTTACTGCCCCCTTTATGGAGTGGGGCTATGTCTGTTGTTTTTAGTAACTGTGGGACGACCCCCGTGTCCATGCTCCCTCTCCATAGGATGGTAAAAGCTCGTGATAGGGGCTTCTTGCAGTTCTTGATGAACACGGAGTTTCATGAGTCTGGCCCTGGGGTAGAGTGCATGGGCATGTCATTTATCGCCTGTTCGAAGTCATTTGGCGTCAGGATAACATCAGATAGGCTTGTGTTGTTTAAATCATTCCGATTCTGAAATCAAAATAGTTTTTAAGTTCTCACATTTTGTTGAATATTTTTTGGAAAATTAATTTGATATGCAGTAACCGAAGAATTATGTTTATTCTATATCTCAATTTATATAATTTAATACCATTTCGAATTCTTTCCTGGTTAGATTTTCTTGGTACCCCATTGAAATTTTATCTTATACCTGACTTCTACTTGTCTACCTCAGTCGTATCTTCCTTCATTCCTACGTCTTTCCAAAGCCAAATGTAAAGGAGCTCCGCAATTGCCAGTTATATCCGCATAAATCATGCGTACCAGAAGTGAAAGTTGGTTGGTTGTTAGAGGCAATATAAGGTTTTAGTGTAAAATGGCTTTAAATATTTTGTAATTGTTAACACTGTGCAGTGTGGAACCTACTTAAAAAGTGAATTCGTAATTTCACGTGAGGGGTCGTATCCATTTCCTAGAAGGGCCACATGCGGCCCTCGGGCCGCATGCTGGGGACCCCCGCTCGAGAGTATACAGCTTCAAGGATCTCAGTCATTCTTCGTACACAAGTTTTCTTATACAGTGTATTAACCTCGTCATCCCTCTCTGTATATTTTCCAGTGCGTTGGTGTTTGCTATGTAGTACTGAGACCAGAACTGGATATGTGAAACTCCGTGTGGAGGATGAGATGAAGTATCTGTCGGAGAAACTGCCAGAAACCAAAACAAATATGTTTCCTCAACAGCGTGAATAAGGCTCAAACCTCTTTCCGCACGAAGGATTTCGGATACAAGTCTCTTCGTCATATCGTCTGCAAGTCTGAGGTGATGGTTATACCTAGAGCTTTGTCCGTCTCTCACTCCGATGTCCAGAGTGTGGAGTATCATCCCCCTGTGTATAGTACTCCAGTGTGTAGTAACACAGACGCAGTAAGCAAGGACTGTCAGCAGCTCTACGCTACATAATGCAAAAGGAATCGATCTCTCAAGCAGAAGGTCTCTCAGCCTTGATAAGTTTACTCTGAAACCTTGATAAATATCTTTCCGGTATTTAATTCTCACGGGTAATACTCATCCACACATCACTGTCAACACAGTTTACAGAATTATCAATACATAATTCATCCAGCGAATGGCTAGAAGTTTGATGTATAATATTTTGACGATCTGGAATAGATTTATATATAAAAAAAAAGACTACTCAATATGGTATCTGTTTAAATAAAGTTTCAATATCCCGAAGTTGTTAGACAGAACTCAAGGCGACACAATAGACAAATAACCTGCACATTGTAGAATGAAACTTACGGCAACATTTCGGTCCGACTTGGCCCATTAACTAGTCACACATAAGCGCGAAGGGAAGGGATTGTTATCAAGCTAGGAGTTGATAATGGAGCAGAACCAGCCGAAACGTCTGAAGGTTCCTCTGCAAATTATGGGTCAGTTGTGAGTCACGTTCATAGCGACGATTAAATATCTGAAGAAAAGAGACTCCAACGGGTTTATAATGGTTGTAAAAAACTGTGCAGAGCAAGATGTCACGAGGGATCGACCCTCATTTGCCATCTCTAGATCAAGAGGTTATAGAACACACCGTAATAAAGCCCCCGGTGGGAGAGACGTCTCTTAATAAAGATATCCAAGGGGGGGGGGTTGTACATGTTCTTTATTCGTACCTCTTTAAGATAAGATAAGATTTCGTTCGGATTTTTAACCCCGGAGGGTTAGCCACCCAGGATAACCCAAGAAAGTCAGTGCGTCATCGAGGACTGTCTAACTTATTTCCATTGGGGTCCTTAATCTTGTCCCCCAGGATGCGACCCACACCAGTCGACTAACACCCAGGTACCTATTTGCTGCTAGGTGAACAGGACAACAGGAGTAAGGAAACGTGTCGAAATGTTTCCACCCGCCGGGAATCGAACCCGGGCCCTCCGTGTGTGAAGCGGGAGCTGTAGCCACCAGGCCACCGGCCTCGTTTCTTGATGCTGTTTATGTTGACGAAAGTAGGGCATTCTAATCACAGAACGGGGTGAGGAGATGGGGGTGAGGATGGAACTCGAATCCATGACAAGTGAGTTCGAAGTGGTTCGCCGGTATGGTTCCGGCCCGGGTCTTTTCCATAAGGTGATCCGACAATGGCTCCCCAGGTTGGGGTGTCCAACATCATCTTTCTTGATGTCTTGTGCCGTAGTCTTGGGAAGAGGGGTCCTCTTCGTTTCTTCGGACGCTTGCAGTCTTAACTGTAATCTTGTTATCACGACTTCGTGAGTTGTATGGCGTCCTAGTTTGCAGACTGACGGTGTTTACAGTGTTCCTTTGGCAAAGTTCGCTGCCCACGGGAAGAGTTTGGAACCGAATCATGAAGGGTCGGCGGCTGAACCGTGTTATCAGCAACTTGTGATTCCAGCGGCTTGGTACAGCTGGTCCCCACCAGCTGCAGTTCAACAGTGTTCCCAGTAGCTGGTGTTGAACTTTGGCTCCAACTGTTGGCATAAAACAGGGCCCCAGCAGTGAGTGTCGAGCAGGGCCCCCAACCTTTCCATGAAGGTCACTGTTAACAAGGTCAACGGTAAGCAAGGAACTTTGAGTGCTCAGGCTTCTGTTTCTAATTAAATAAGTCCAGCCAGTGTCAAACTTTGATAATTTAGTGAACTTGGAACATTTGTTATACGTTATTACCTCTTGTAAATGGATTTTAATGGCTACCACCCTCGCTACTGATCAGTGACGTCAGCGATCAGTAACACAGCTGAACAGTGGCGTCAGCGATCAGTAACACAGCTGAACAGTGGCGTCAGCGATCAGTAACACAGCTGATCAGTGGCGTCAGCGATCAGTAACACAGCTGATCAGTGACGTCAGCGATCAGTAACAGCTGATCAGTGACGTCAGCGACCAATAACACAGCTGATCAGTGACGTCGGTGATCAATAACTGGGGTGACATTCAGAATTTTGTAGATCAAAATCTTCGCCCTTTAAATTGGATGGAGAAAACGGAGAGGCGCCCCCTAACCCGCCCTTGATACCGGTGAAGGGGGTTTCTTGATCCAAGGAACTGAAGCTTTCCTTCTCTCCTTGGATCAAACGTAATTTTGTTCCACTGCCCACAGGCACTGCCTGACCCTTACGGGTTTAGAGCTTCCTTTTTACAGAAGCAACAGAACCATAACCATTACAACACCAATTCAATGTCATCATTCCTCTAGTCTATGGCATTATCCTTCTAATTGGTCGACGTATGAACCAATCAGCAGACTGGTCTATGTACGAGGTCTTCTGATTAGTCAGTATACAGAGGAGGCGCGTGTATGGCTAGTGTATGGCGCCTTCCGATTGGTGGTCGTATGGACACGAGCCTGATCATTGGTCAACAGAGTGGTAGTCAGGAAAGGAGGGAGGTAGGTAGGAAGAGAGGTAGGGAGGTATGCAGGAAGGGAGGTAGGTAGGTAGGGAGGGTGAACACAAGAACACTCCCTCAGAAGTGTTTGGTGTGCTCCGTCATCAACACGTATATACCATCAACCTCTATCAGCATTGCTCTGACAGTTTCCAGGGAGTTGAATACATTGTTGTCCCGTCTATCGTGGCCGCTGACGTTGAGACAATAGATACTCTCAGGAAAGATGGTCAGCGGAGGTGTAAGTAGACTCTGAGCTTTATATCCAGAGAGGTATTGTGTCTAGTAGCTCTACAGGTAGCGCACTCAGTACATACACACTGAGGTCCGTGATTCGATCCCCGGTACGGGTGGAAGAAGGATCAGGGCGTATTTCCTTAAGACATCTGCTATCACTGTTCACTTAGCAGTAAAATAGGTACCTGGGTGTTAGTGGACTGATGTGGGTCGCATCCTGGGACAAAACTAACCTTATTTGCCCGAAATGCTCTACATAACAAGAGGCTTTCTATATAGCATGTCCCTGATATCAGCTATGGTCTTTTAAGTTGTATCATGTATCTGTAGAAATAGATTATATTAATTATTGCTTATAAGCTTGATTTAACCCCCTATTTTAGGTATTTAAAGTATTCTTGGGTGGTGATAGACAGGTGACATGCAGCCTTCGTGTCATCGATAGACTTTAAACCATATTATATTAAAAGCAGACTCTAAACCCGCATGGGACGTCAGTACTGCATGTGTTGGCTCGAATGCATGCCAATATGAACAAAAAATACAGCGTGTAGAATTGAAAAGTTTGTTGAACAGTTGCGGCCAGAGGAGAAACCTTTGTATACCTGGAGGGTGTTTTGGGGGTCGACGCCCCCGTGGCGCGGGCCATGGCCAGGCCTGGAAAAAGATGCCAGCAGCGTCTGGTGTTCCCATCCAAGTACTAACCAAAACTGATCTGTCGAGAAGCGGTGCAGTCAACGTGGTATGGCTCTTGATGTCCTTGATGCTGGTGAAAGGGATCTTGATCCAAGGCATTAGAGCTGCCCCTTCCTCGTATTAAATCTAGCACCCATCCTTTACATGTATACCATGCACCAGGTGTTTCAGGGGGCTGCACGATCCAAGAAAGGTATCCCCTTATCCCATAAGCCCAGCCCCTTCTACCACAGTAAACTCGAAAGTAATGCAGCAGTGTGGCACAAGTTTCTAATCCACTTAAATATCGACGTTGAGAGTTTGAATCCGATCTGAAGAAGCGTTCACGTGTTATCTAAGTTTCTACCTTGAAAGTTGACAGACAATCGGAAAAGTCATTCTCTAGTTGCCTCAGGAACCAATATCCCAGAAGACACAGAGGTTAAAACTCTCAAGGTATCGGTATTGATGGTTTGAAACCGATCGGATAATGCATTCACAAAAATTTCTCAGGAAAACCATGATCAAAATTTTTCAAATTTCTTAAATAAAATTGATGAATTAGTACCCACAGTGCCCAAAATCAAAGCCTTCCTCTGGGTAACATACCCTAGCGTTGAAAGTTGCAATCAGACTGAACGATGCATTCTTTAGTTATCGGCGAGCTTGGAGTCTCAATTTGATTATGTTCAGTGAGCCGTTAATCAAAGTGCAAGTCGACAATCTGAAGGAATTTTTTATAACCGAGACTTAAAATTCTGTCAATATCTCCAGAATTTTTAACATAACCCTAACACCAATAGACTTTGAAAAGCAGTTTACAACATGCTTATGCACTGCCCAGACTCGTCAAATTCAGAGTTCATCAAGAACTGCGAGGAACTTTTTTCATGTACCTTAAGTATTCTATGAGAAGGAGCCTAGACACTGGGGTCACCAGTTACTAAAAACAACAGTCCCATTCCACAAAGGTGGCGGTAAAGCAATAACAGATTTATAGACCGACAGCACTAACGTCCCACATCATAAAAATCTTTGAAAGAGTTCTATGAAGCAAGATCGCCAACCACTTGAATACCCAACAATTGTGCAATCCCGGGCAGCATGGGTTTAGAGCAGGTCGCTCCTGCCTATCACTACTACTGGACCACTATGACAGTCTTGGTTGCACTCGAGGACAAATGGAATGCAGCTGTAGTATACACAGTAGCGAGAGCCTTCGAAAAGTGCGATGTGCGATCTTGGTGTAATAGCACCCAAAATGCGTGCTATTACACCATGAATACTGGGGAAAGTTGATTAAAAAAAAAGTAGATTTTGAAACGACAGCTGTTCACCTATACATTCCAATGTGTCTTAATCACTTAATTACGTTTCACATATTGTTTCAGTTGGAAGGCGATCGAAAGAGGCTTTATAAAGTTATTCGCACGGAAACCAAATTCGGAAATGATCTCCAGAAAGTTAACCCTTCGAGGGAGGTGACCTGACGCTGTTAAAAAGTTCTTGTTCCACGAAATTGGAACTACCTTATAATTTAACCAAACCTGGTTGTCTCCAGTTTACAACCTACTACTACTACTACTACTACTACTACTACTACTACTACTACTACTGCTGCTGCTACTACTGTACTCCTCCAGGGAGGTTCCTTGACGCTGGTGAGGGGCTCTCGAATTAAGGAATTGGATCTGTGCTCCAGTTCCCTGAATTAAGCCTGAATACCTTCCCCCCCAAAGGCGCTGTATAATCCTACGGGTTTAGCGCTTCCCCATTATTATAATACTATTACTACTACACAAAAAAACATCCACCAGGCCAAGTGTCCATCGATAAGTGCCTTTGACAATTAGTAAGTACTACACACACACACACACACACACACACACACACACACACACACACACACACACACACACACACAGGCAGTGTTACATAACACTTGATTGGTCAATACATCATTGCCTTGCCACCTCTCTCCCACCCGTGAATCGAACCCGCATTCATAAAGATGTCAGCCGAATACTCTGAGTCATGCGCATACCTCATGCTGCTATGCCAGAGAGGCATAGCAGCATAAGGATAATTATAAAAACACGAGGTTGAAGAACATCTACATAAGTGTTTCAAAATAAGACCCAATTTCAAAGCAGTCTGCTTTGAAATTAGGTCCACAGTTTTGAAACACCCTGTATATACACAGAGCTGCCCTCTGTAGGTACACTGAGATTATACTTTAAATTCTTCATTAATGGAGTATTCTTCATTGGTGGTGACCAACTGACATGCAGCCTTCATGACGTTTGTGTAGTAGATAGGTTTTAATGACCCTGGTATAGTCGATAGCCTTTAATGACCCTAGTGTGTCAATAGTCTTTAAACTCCATTAAACAATTAGCGTGTGACTGTAGTTGTAGGTGAAGCCAGTAAGCCAGTGTTTACCTCTGGCCGTCTTGACGACCCACCAACACCAGTGACCTCGATTCTCTCCCTATTGTGATCAATACCCATGAGCAGCCTTGATGCTGCTTGTGGGCTCTTGATCTAATGAGATGGAGCCACCGTCCCCTTGGACCAGACTTTATCTCCTTTGTTTCTCCAGGTCATGTAGTATCCCTAAGGATTTAACAAGAGATTAAAGCCTCCCACTCCTCGTATCAAAGCGATTACCTCCCATTCCCCAGGCGCTTGGAATTACGATTGTTCCAGCTCCTGGTGAACGAAACTCTCCCAGAATGTTTTAAGAACATGAAGAAGGAACACTGCAGCAGGCCTACTGGCCCATCCTTGGCACGTCCTTCTCACACCCACTAACAATTTTTGCCCGACACATTTGTTGCTGTCTTGTATAGACTTTACTTGACCATCCTAATATTTGTAGTGTGAGCTAAGTGTCAGGTATCAGTGTGAGCCAAGTGTCAGATATCAGGGTAATGTGAGCCACCTGTCAGGTATCAGGGTAATGTGAGCCACCTGTCAGGTATCAGGGTAATGTGAGCCACCTGTCACGTATCAGGTTAATGTGAGCCACCTGTCAGGTATCAGGGTAATGTGAGCCACCTGTCAGGTATCAGGGTAATGTGAGCCACCTGTCAGGTATCAGGGTAATGTGAGCCACCTGTCAGGTATCAGGGTAATGTGAGCCACCTGTCAGGTATCAGGGTAATGTGAGCCACCTGTCAGGTATCAGGTAATGTGAGCCACCTGTCAGGTATCAGGGTAATGTGAGCCACCTGTCAGGTATCAGGTAATGTGAGCCACCTGTCAGGTATCAGGGTAATGTGAGCCACCTCTCAGGTATCAGGTAATGTGAGCCACCTGTCAGGTATCAGGGTAATGTGAGCCACCTGTCAGGTATCAGGGTAATGTGAGCCACCTGTCAGGTATCAGGGTAATGTGAGCCACCTGTCAGGTATCAGGGTAATGTGAGCCACCTGTCAGTATCAGGGTAATGTGAGCCACCTGTCAGGTATCAGGGTAATGTGAGCCACCTTCAGGTATCAGGGTAATGTGAGCCCCTTCAGGTATCAGAGTAATGTGAGCCACCTGTCAGGGATCAGGGTAATGTGAGCCACCTCTCAGGTATCAGGGTAATGTGAGCCACCTCTCAGGTATCAGGGTAATGTGAGCCACCTGTCAGGTATCAGGGTAATGTGAGCCACCTCTCAGGTATCAGGGTAATGTGAGCCACCACCTGTCAGGTATCAGGGTAATGTGAGCCACCTGTCAGGTATCAGGGTAATGTGAGCCACCTGTCAGTATCAGGGTAATGTGAGCCACCTGTCAGGTATCAGGGTAATGTGAGCCACCTCTCAGGTATCAGAGTAATGTGAGCCACCTGTCAGGTATCAGGGTAATGTGAGCCACCTGTCAGGTATCAGGGTAATGTGAGCCACCTGTCAGGTATCAGGGTAATGTGAGCCACCTGTCAGGTATCAGGGTAATGTGAGCCACCTGTCAGGTATCAGGGTAATGTGAGCCACCTGTCAGGTATCAGGGTAATGTGAGCCACCTGTCAGGTATCAGGGTAATGTGAGCCACCTTCAGGTATCAGGGTAATGTGAGCCACCTGTCAGGTATCAGGGTAATGTGAGCCACCTGTCAGGTATCAGGGTAATGTGAGCCACCTGTCAGGGTACTCTCAGGGTAATGTGAGCCACCTGTCAGGTATCAGGGTAATGTGAGCCACCTGTCAGGTATCAGGGTAATGTGAGCCACCTGTCAGGTATCAGGGTAATGTGAGCCACCTGTCAGGTATCAGGGTAATGTGAGCCACCTCTCAGGTATCAGGGTAATGTGAGCCACCTCTCAGGTATCAGGGTAATGTGAGCCACCTGTCAGGTATCAGGGTAATGTGAGCCACCTGTCAGGTATCAGGGTAATGTGAGCCACCTGTCAGGTATCAGGGTAATGTGAGCCACCTTCAGGTATCAGGGTAATGTGAGCCACCTCTCAGGTATCAGGTAATGTGAGCCACCTGTCAGGTATCAGGGTAATGTGAGCCACCTCTCAGGTATCAGGGTAATGTGAGCCACCTGTCAGGTATCAGGGTAATGTGAGCCACCTGTCAGTATCAGGGTAATGTGAGCCACCTGTCAGGTATCAGGGTAATGTGAGCCACCTGTCAGGTATCAGGGTAATGTGAGCCACCTTCAGGTATCAGGGTAATGTGAGCCACCTGTCAGGTATCAGGGTAATGTGAGCCACCTGTCAGGTATCAGGGTAATGTGAGCCACCTCTCAGGTATCAGGGAATGTGAGCCACCTCTCAGGTATCAGGGTAATGTGAGCCACCTCTCAGGTATCAGGGTAATGTGAGCCACCTCTCAGGTATCAGGGTAATGTGAGCCACCTCTCAGGTATCAGGGTAATGTGAGCCACCTGTCAGGTATCAGGGTAATGTGAGCCACCTCTCAGGTATCAGGTAATGTGAGCCACCTGTCAGGTATCAGGGTAATGTGAGCCACCTCTCAGGTATCAGGGTAATGTGAGCCACCTCTCAGGTAATCAGGGTATAATGTGAGCCACCTGTCAGGTATCAGGGAATGTGAGCCACCTCTCAGGTATCAGGGTAATGTGAGCCACCTGTCAGGTATCAGGGTAATGTGAGCCACCTCTCAGGTATCAGGGTAATGTGATCTGTTTCTCAGAGATGCTTCAGTATCAGTGGTCAGTGAGAACTTCAGATCAGGGTAGTAGCACCTAGGTATCATTTGTGGATTATATTAGTGAGTCCTCTTCTTTATTTTCCAGTGTTGTCCACCTCTCCTACAGGGTTGTGGATTTATTTTTCTTGTGTTTATTAACATGTCCTTTCATTTCGTTTATTAGATTTGGTCCTCCTTGCTTCCCTTTTGTCCTCTGTTATTCTTTCTTCCACCATTCTAATTATTTCTCCTCCCGTTACCTTCGTCTCTGTTGTTCCTCTTCCCCGTTCCTTTCGCCTCTGTTCCTCCTCCCTTCTCTTCGTCTTTGGAGAAATATTTTGTTTCTTCCTTTGTTTTAGACATTATGATAATCAAAGTTCAGATAAAATTCAGAATTTCACTGAAATGTGCACAGCAAAGGTCTCGTTGTGAAGCTTAGAAAGCTCAGTGCTGTTGGGTACATATACACACTCGTTATAACCTCGTATGCCTAATATATATATATAAATATATATATAATATATATATATATTATATATATATATATATATATAATATATATATATATATATATATATATATATAATGTCGTGCCGAATATGTAAAACTGGTCAATTAGCAAGAACTCATTTAAAATTAAGTCCTTTCTGAAATTTTCTCTTATACGTTTAAAGATATACTTTTTTCATTAATGTTAATGTAAAAAATTTTAATTTTGCACCAAAAGAATCTTAGAAAACTTACCTAACCTTATTATAACAAGATATTATTATTATTTATTATTAAAGATTAGCCGGTATTCTCCCGGCCCGGGCCTTTTCCAAGTGGTGGCCCGGCCTTGGCTCCCTCTTTAGGGAGTGTCTGAGACCGAAGTCTCCCATGGGAGGAGATAAAAGTACCTCCTCATCTTTGGGACCAACTGTCCCCAGGCCTAGCCACAAGCTAGGCCTCTCTGGTCTGCCATCCCCGCCCCTAGGGGACAAATGGGAATGACAGTCTTAGGAGCTAAAGGCTCGGGCTCAGGCACCTACCCTACCCTAGAAGGATTAGACATGGTGTCGATGTTATAACAAGAGCAATTTATTTTAGCATAACCCAACTAAATATATTTAAAATACGTTTACAATAATTTAGTACTAAATAAACACAATCAAATATATTTTTTCGTTAGGTTCAGAATGATTTTGGCGAAATTATTGCATACACAAATTTTCATTTGTCCTATATGGCAAGATTAACGTTGTTATTTAAGCCAAGATGGCAAGTTCTGCCTATTCGGCACGACATATATATATATATATATATATATATATATATATATATATATATATATATATATATATATTATTTCTTTCAACACACCGGCCGTATCCCACCGAGGCGGGGTGGCCCAAAAGGAAAAACGAAAGTTTCTCCTTTTACATTTAGTAATATATACAGGAGAAGGGGTTACTAGCTCCTTGCTCCCGGCATTTTAGTCGCCTCTTACAACACGCATGGCTTACGGAGGAAGAATTCTGTTCCACTTCCCCATGGAGGTAAGAGGAAATAAACAAGAACAAGAACTAGAAAGAAAATAGAAGAAAACCCAAAGGGGTGTGTATATATATGCTTGTACATGTATGTGTAGTGTGACCTAAGTGTAAGTAGAAGTAGCAAGACGTACCTGAAATCTTACATGAGTATGAGACAGATAAAAAAAGGACACCAGCAATCTTACCATCGTGTAAAACAATTACAGGCTTCAGTTTTACACTCACTTGGCAGGACGGTAGTACCTCCCTGGGCGGTTGCTGTCTACCAACCTACTACCTAGATATATATATATATAATATATATATATATATATATAATATATATATATATATATATATATATGCATACGAAGCCATGTTATACTTAAACATCCGTGTTTAATACAATATTTTCACTTGATACAATAAGTCTTCCCAGTACTTGTTGTTAGACTTGTCACAACAACGTCCAACAATAAGTACTGGCAAGGCTTATTGTATCAGGTGAAAATATTGTATTAAACACGAATATTTATGTATTAAATCACAGATGTTTAACCCAGGCTCAACTAGTGTATTAATAAATGTTTATTGTGTATCTCGAACCCTCTCTGCTGAAGAGGATCTCGTTTGTTTTTCCGTTTGAAGGCGTTTTATATGGGTGACGGCCATATTTTTCTAGTGAGGATGGATCAGTAAATACCTAAGAGGTATTCTTGTATTTTAGACTTGTATGGTGTTAGGTAGACAATATTGCTAAGAAGACGGCAATAATGGTGATAAATGGTATTAAATACCGACACGATGGAAAAATCCACAAATGCAGCATGATGCGATCCTATATTGACAGATCTGTTTGTGGCTTGATAAAGGCCACCGTGTGGGCGCGCATTATACTGCATTTCCTTTTCTATAATGATTCTGAGGTTTGGCTTCATCTCCGTGACAGCGAGAATGTATCAGCATCCACGTGGGTCAGGCTGGTGTGCAGATGGGGAACGCCTGCTGGGAGCTATACTGCCTCGAGCATGGTATCCAGACAGATGGTACCATGCTTCATGATGAGAGTGTGGGCTACGAGGCAGATGACTCCTATAATACCTTCTTCAGTGAGACCAGGACGGGTAAACACGTCCCCAGGGCTGTCTTCATAGATCTTGAACCTACCGTCATTGGTAAGTACTCATCTCCTTGTTAGTTCTCAAGGCAGGAGTTGTTTTTGTTACCCTTGCGTTCGTGTCCGTTGTCTCCAGCGAAGTTCATTTCCAGATGCATCACCAGGCGCCTTGATTTTCTTTTCCAGGACTTTACAGAGTCGACACTCTGTGATACTGGCTTGTAATTGAGTTATTCTTTCCTAATTTCTTCCTTATATTGGGATAACATTTGTAGTGTTGCAACTATCTGGTACGTGTCCTCTATGTAGTGAACTGTGTAGTCGCAATTGGCTCTTTTAATTCTGCTGCTCCTTGTTTCACTACCCATGGGACTATATTACCATGTCTCATAACTTATCTGGAATCCAGTTCTCTCAACCGTTTAATCACTTCTTCCTTCGACGTTTGGATGCTGTCTAGCTTCATCTGATCTCTGCCACCCCCTAGGCTCGTGAATACTGATCCTATTTAGGCGAAGAGTTCCTGGAATTCTTGTTCAGCTCCTCTCATACCTCTATCTTTAGTAAGTTCTGGGTCCTATTTACTCAGTATTATGACTTGATCTTTCATATATTCCCAGGCGTTCTATGATCCATACGGCCTTAGCGTTTTCCCAGCGATATAATTAGTAATTTTTAATAACTTTTAGCAGAATTCATGGTTATCGTAGTATTTTTTTTCATGGGGAGGAGCATCAGCTTTAATTATTCGTCAGAGGCTGGAACTCTTTGCCAAAACAGAAGCCTGGAGAACACTGCACTAGAGGCTAGGAACACTCGTGAGTTCGTAAGAAAACGCAGCATAGATCCCGCCAGCCAGCTGAATGTTAACTCTAGTAAGATACCGCCCGAAGGTTTTGTTCGGTTTACACTCGATGAAGCTTAACGAATAGCAAAACGTTATCCCAATGAAAGTTAGTTACGGAACGTTTTTCTTCCCTGCCGAAATCTAAGAGGTAGACCCAAAACTAAGGTACGAAAACGCAATAAAAATAAGTCACTGACTCCTTTGGGTTACCCTAAATAATTACAGTACTTACGTGTACCTGTGTCTAAATAAACTTATACTCGTCACTAAAAACAAACTTTCCCACAACAGTTACAAGAGTTACGTCTGCCAGTAGACTTATTGACGAAAAAAAAAGTGGAAAGAATACCTCTGAATTATTCACGCAAGTTAGCACGCAAAAGAATGGCCCGATAACTTTTAGCTGTCAGAGCTGAAACATGTCAATACAGGCATGTTTAGACAGTCACTGGATTATTTACACCCTGTCAATGGCTTATTCAGACAGTCAGGGCCTTGTTCAGACATTTGCGTTAAACATACACGAATATTTGCAAGAGTTCGTAACATTCCCAGGCAGTGATTTTTTCCACATAAATTTTGAGCTATGTATGATAATTTATGTAACTTTGTGTACCTGACTAAACTTGCACACATGGACTCTGCCTCTACCACTTCTTCTCCAAGGTTATTCTACTGCGTAAGATTTAATTTTATCTTAATATCTGAGGAAGCAATAACCTAAGTACCTTGGGTAGGCTGTGACCGAGGTAATGAGCAGTTGGTATATAGACACATAGCGAAGAGGAAGTCTTTCAGGCGACGTTTCGCTCAGAACTGAGCTTTATAATGGCATGATAAAGAACAGTTATTATTGAGACTTGTCAAATAAAGCTTTGCTCTGCCTTACCTGTCCTTGCATATTTTTATGGTATAATTTTACCCTTATTTTTATTTTATATTACTGCATTTTCCGGCATATAAGGCGCACGGCAGAGGTATAATGGTAAATCAGTAATAATATTAGTGTTAATTACCCTCTTACTTTACGCTAAAGCGTAACACACAGCCTACCCTTAACCCCTGTCCTTCAGCATATAAGACGCAGGCTGATTTTGCAAGACGTTTTGTGGGAAAAAAAACGCGCGTTGTATGCCGGAAAATACGGTATATTGTTAGGGCTATGAGGGCTGAGTGACCTGCGATGTCAGAGATCTGTCAAGGTGACAACTAGTGCCAATTTTTGAACCTCCTGGGGAACGGGTGAGAAAATCTGGTCACATCTGGATGAGGAAATGAGGCCAGTGAGAAATGTCAGAATAAGAGTCAATACGAGAAGTTGCTGTACGACCAAGCACAGTCGTCTACGACTCTATTTCCACGAGATGATCTTTCCTTAGTCTGTCTGCGGATGGATGTCCCTTCCAGCTAGCTAAGGAGATTCTCCAAAGTTAAAACTCTGATTTTTACCAAAGATCCTTCCGTTTTCATGCGAAGTTAACGTTTTCTTATGTTGTCAATAGATGGATGTTCCTTCAACATGGTTAAGGAGGGTCCCAAAGCGAAAATTCTGGTTTTACAAAAGACTCCAGTTAGTTTAATATGTTTATTATGCACCCCATACCCATCCTGTGGGCGGTAGTCAAAAGATTACAGAGGTACATAATTGGTCCAGGGACTGGACTCCAAAGTAAAAAAACTCCAGCAGTTTCATCCGTGAGATCAAGATGTCCGTGAGCACACAGTCACGCTGAGCATCCCTCAAACTGGAACGAATTAACACGAACTCTGTTTCCTTGTAGGTGGACATTCCTAAACACCGTTATACTTCCGAGAACGGTGTCGTATTGGAAGAGTTCCTGGAAGTAGGTTGGTGGGTCAGGCTAGATTCTGGTATGTCTGGCAGAAGTTCCTCGTAGCGGTGATGGTACTCGGGGTGGAATGCTGGTTCACGTTCGGGTCGATATCTGAATACCGAACTTGGCGTCAGCTGTGGACCCTATTGTACTATATATATCCACATTTATATACGATAATCACAATATCATCGCTGAAAAGTTCCTTGAATAAGATTTATAATAAATCTAGTTTAAGGAAACTAGAGTATTCTTAAAGAATATTTTAAATCAGTTTAAGATATCTTTATAGTTATTTCTAGGCCTAAGAACGAGGCGAAGTTCCATGTGTTTTATGTGTAGATATTCTTAATATTAATAAGATTAAACGGCTTAGTGAGAGAAGAGAGATCTGGGCCTCAGGTTCAGAGATTCCCTTAGTCTGTTGATATTTACTGATCTATTTTTCACTTCTTTCAAGTGGTTCCCTTCAATTTATCGATCAATGTTTGATATAATCCAAGCAACGAGTTCGTGAAGTAAATTATTGTACGTGTTCCTGGGTGTCTGGGATTATATGTTCCATTATGGAATGAACACTGTGATCCTTTTGGTGGTGGAAGCCTGGGATTCTCCTGGCGGTGGAAGCCTGGGATTCTCCTGGCGGTGGAAGCCTGGGATTCTCCTGGCGGTGGAAGCCTGGGATTGTATACGAATTTCCAGGATTTCGTAATGACCTTTTAAATTTAGCTTTATTCCTAGGAATTTGCTCGGCAGTCTGAGAGTCTGGAATGACTTAAATTATTTAGGGACAATACCTGGCAGGCAATATTAACAAATTCATTTTGTTTACCTATGGTGTTTAAAAGTGTAAACATTTGTGATAAGCAAAATTCCTTCTCGTATAGCCTTGATGCATTTGAAGGGCTCTTGATCTGAGGAGTTGGAGCTACGTCTTCCCTTCAGTGGGTCAAACCTGACTGCCTCTCATTCCCCAGGCGTCGCATAACGCTTACGGATTGAGCGCTATCTCATAATATATACTCTAATGTTCACATCTCGGTGAGAGGTGTGCATATCAGTGTATTAAACATACCTACACAGTGTGTATATTCACGTATATGGTAGCAAGGGATGTGTGTGTGTGTGTGTGTGTGTGTGTGTGTGTGTGTGTCTCACCTGCAGCAGTAATGATCATTATTAAGTATGTCTTTGGGGTGATTAAGTAGTTTAAGTGTGGGAGAGCTTTATTGTGGGTGAAAAGGAGCCTCACTCTTCCCGTCTCCCAGGTATAACATGAGGAGCCTCGCTCTTCCCGTCTCCCAGGTATAACACGAGGAGCCTCGCTCTTCCCGTCTCCCAGGTATAACACGAGGAGCCTCGCTCTTCCCGTCTCCCAGGTATAACACGAGGAGCCTCGCTCTTCCCGTCTCCCAGGTATAACACGAGGAGCCTCGCTTTTCCCGTTCCCAGGTATAACACGAGGAGCCTCGCTCTTCCCGTCTCCAGGTATAACACGAGGAGCCTCGCTCTTCCCGTCTCCCAGGTATAACACGAGGAGCCTCGCTCTTCTCGTCTCCCAGGTATAACATGAGCCTCGCTCTTCCCGTCTCCCAGGTATAACACGAGGAGCCTCGCTCTTCCCGTCTCCCAGGTATAACACGAGGAGCCTCGCTTTCCCGTCTCCAGGTATAACACGAGGAGCCTCGCTCTTCCCGTCTCCCAGGTATAACACGAGGAGCCTCGCTCTTCCCGTCTCCCAGGTATAACATGAGCCTCGCTCTTCCCGTCTCCCAGGTATAACACGAGGAGCCTCGCTCTTCCCGTCTCCCAGGTATAACACGAGGAGCCTCGCTTTTCCCGTCTCCCAGGTATAACACGAGGAGCCTCTCTCTTCCCGTCTTTCAGGTATAACATGAGGAGCCTCGCTCTTCCCGTCTCCCAGGTATAACACGAGGAGCTTCGCTCTTCCCGTCTCCCAGGTATAGCACGAGGAGCCTCGCTCTTCCCGTCTCCCAGGTATAACATGAGGAGCCTCGCTCTTCCCGTCTCCCAGGTATAACATGAGCCTCGCTCTTCCCGTCTCCCAGGTATAACACGAGGATCCTCGCTCTTCCCGTCTCCCAGGTATAACACGAGGAGCCTCGCTCTTCCCGTCTCCCAGGTATAACATGAGCCTCGCTCTTCCCGTCTCCCAGGTATAACATGAGGAGCTTCGCTCTTCCCGTCTCCCAGGTATAACACGAGGAGCCTCGCTCTTCCCGTCTCCCAGGTATAACATGAGGAGCCTCGCTCTTCCCGTCTCCCAGGTATAACACGAGAAGCCTCGCTCTTCCCGTCTCCCAGGTATAACATGAGCCTCGCTCTTCCCGTCTCCCAGGTATAACATGAGGAGCC